ATCAAACTATAGAAACGGATTAAGGAGAATGCCACACACCTGAATCAGGAAGAGAAATGAGAAGATGTACAAAAAGAAAATGCCTCCAAATTAAACAAGAATGAACTTTGAAGACGTACTTAAAAGGAAGAGCATTATAAAAGGACAAGAATAACAGACACTACAGAAAAGGAGATAATAAAGAAAATAGTGAAAATGAATATAAATGCAGAAATATGTCTCTTAGCTTGTCCTTCAAAAGACAACTAGAACAGCAGACACTCTGAGTCTGGAAAAAGAGCCAACCCAAATAGACACAAATTTACTAGAAAAACATTACAAGAAATATGAAATGTGACTCTACAGTAGCAATTTGAAGGTGTAAAGAAGGAAAAAACATGTTAACAAAATATGACTTATCAAAACTAATACAAGTAGTTGAGAAACTGAATATATTTATCTCTACTGAAGAGAGTAAAATGCAGCATTGTTGCATATATCAGTTCTACGTAACTTTTAAAGAACACACAATTCCATTCAAATAAAATATGAAAGGCCATTAAAAGTTATGAAAAGTTCAATCCTCAGCATCATGGGGGTTAAAAAGTCAAGAAAAGACTCTAATTCACCTGATTAACTACTTAATACCATATCCTTATGACGTTAAATAAAAGTCTAATCTCACAAATAGTTGCAAAATTTAGACAAATTAACAAATACATGGAGAGGGTGGGGAAGGGGGGAGGGGAGCAGGGTGGAGAAATGACCCAAACAATGTATGCACATGTGAATAAAATAATAATAATAATAATAATAATGATAATTTAAAAACCTTGAAATGGTGATAGTAAATATAGTCATGATCATGCCAAAAAAAAAATATACACATATAGCAAATTAGAATTTCCTGAGAATAATATAGTACAACAAGGAGTTATTTTGTGTCTCATTATTAGGATATAAGCTAACACAATGTATTATAGTAAGAAATGGAAGGGGGAAAACCAGGATCCTATCTGTCAGGAGAGACGGATGGCAAGTTCTTGGTCTTACCCAAAAAAGAATTCCACAGTGGACACACAGGAGTCATTAACAGAGCACATTTTTTTTATTATTATTCATATGTGCATACAATGCTTGGGTCATTTCTCCCCCCTGCTCCCACCCCCCTCCCTTACCACCCACTCCCCTCTCCCCCACCCCCTCGATACCTGGCAGAAACTATTTTGCCCCTATCTCTAATTTTGTTGAAGAGAGAGTATAAGCAATAATAGGAAGGACCAAGGGGTTTTGCTGGTTGAGATAAGGATAGCTATACAGGGAGTTGACTCACATTACTTTCCTGCAGAGCACATGTATTAAAGCAGGAGTGATCATGAAGTGCTGTCTCCACCACAGGAAACTGAGGGCAGGCAGCAGGACCAAGCAGTCTTCGGCACTCTTATGGATAGGGTTTAATGACTGTGCCAAGGTACAGACATAACTGTGGCATTTCCAAGAACCCCTGTAGCCAAGATGGGGATTTGAGGGGAGGTACATGTATGAAACCACAACTACAATGAGATACAGATGAGGCCTTTGACTAACCTCTTGAGTTGGGAGGGTCTTTGCTAGGGTCATTGCTGGGGACTCCTGACAACTCTACCAAGAAGTAGCCTCAATCGTATTCAACGGATCCAAGCCATTGGTATAGTGGGATGTTTGGTGAAATGTACCCAGATACTGTGCTGCACCTGTTTTCGCTTTCTACCTGCCCACCCCATGTCATCTACATAGGCTGAAAGTTCCTTCATTAGATTTAGGATGTGTTTGTAGTAAGGATCTCAGTAAAAGATCAAACAGAGTAATTTTAAAGCAGTAAAAACACTAGTGAAGTTCACCAACAAAGCTGAGTGGCAGTGGCTCCTGCCTGTAACCCCAGCTGTTTGGAAGGCAGAGATCAGGAGGACCAAGGCTCAAAGCCAGCCCGGCCTCCACCACTGAGAGTCATACCTGCAAACCTAACAAAACGCTTTTAATTGAAAAATTAAAAACCAAAATGAAATAGGGATATCCTCTACCACCTCATTATGAAATGTGATCTTTAAGGTTCTTGTGGACACAGGAAAAATGTGTATAGGTGGGGAGGAAGAATTAAAACAATTCTTTGGCTTTTTTGTTGTTGCTTGTTTTTTGCTGGTTACGTGATTATAAACCTTGGAAATCTAATATCCTAATAAAAAAGATCTATTAATGAATATAAGGTTGTTGAAAAAGACATACACGTATTTTAAACTGGAAATTCCCCCTTCCCCCGAAAAAATTTATTCACAATAAGCTGCAAAACTGTAAACAACTTTTTGGTTTTGAAGAACTAAGTGACCAAGAACTGAAAGAAGAATGATATACGAATAACATACTGCTACGATGCACCAACTATACTAATTACACCAGTACAGTGCTGATGCAGAAAGACTGGGATCAGAGCACCAGAGAGAGAACCAGGAGCAGACAAGCAAAGTGATGTTGCAAGTAGTTAGCTGACAGAACTAGCCACCTACCTGCAATATGGGCAATATAACTCTAACAGCTAATATTTTCTAAATGCTTACTTTGCAACAGGCCATGATCTAAACACTTCAGTTTCTTAGTGTACTTAATTCTCTTGCAAGAGAATTGTATTTCCCCTGTAAGAAAACATAAGTAACGACAGACTGAATACAAGGACAGTGACTCAAAAAGTGCTAAGTACTACATAATGGCTAGCGCTAGGGTTTACTAAAGAGGCTACACCTCCTGACATGCTCACTAGCAGAACAGTCTCACCAACACTTGGTACTTTGTCTTTTCCTTTTTTGCCATGCTAGGAGGTGATATCATTATCACTCACACTGCATTTTTCTGAAGATACTTTTGCATTTATTTATTGATCCCCTAGCTATCATCTACTGAACTAATTCTTTGTAATCATTCTTTACCATAAGCTTTTGTCATATATATTTATTGCAAACACCTGGCTTACTTTCCCTCCATCTTTTGATGAAAGAAATTCTTGATCTCAGTGTAGTCCAATTTATCAAATTTCCATGTAGAGTTAGCATTTTTTATGTCTCACTTGAAGAATATCTGCCCATGCCAAAGTTACAAAGACATTCTCTTTTACTTTCCTATAAACGTTTATCATTTTTACCTTTCAGGTGAAGATCTATACTCTATCTGGAATTGATTCTTGTCATAGTGGAAAGAGGGGTCAAAATCCATTTTGTTTTCCTTTGTGAATACTCAGCTGACCCAGCATGCTTATTGAAAAGCAAGTCAATGATGGCAGAAGCCAGGAGAGTCACCTGTGGGGTGCATTAGTAGTGACTAGAGTGGGGCAGGAGGGAACTCAGGGGCTTCAAGACTGGTCTGTTGAAACCAACAGCCAATATGAGATTTGGAGATAAGACAATTTTAACAAACATGAAGAAAACACTGACTTGCTGGATGCATAAAGAGACAACTGAAGAGAAAAGACAACAGTGCTGGTATAAGCAGGACTATATGCTTATATTTACTAGATGCTGCTGCACGGCAAATTGCCAGAGTAAAAAGAAGCACTTCTTAGATGAAGAATTAAAGAGCTATGAAAAGTACTGATGTCAATGAGTGGAAAACAGGACTCTCCAGCAACAGTGAGAAGATTCACAACCTTTCTGAGATGGAACCTGGCAGCTTCTTTTAAAGTTAAAATGATCTGATTTGGTTCTCCAGTTCTATCCCTATGAATCTCTTTCATCAGAAGAAAACAGCAGTGCATGAAAACTTATGTGAAAGAATCCTTACTTTGTCATTGTCTTGGAGTAGAAATATGAAAGTTTAGTGAGTGACCCCACTTGGTGAGAAAATGGGCAGTGTGGAATGGACTGGATGAGGCCTCTACCCTCCAGGCACATAGAAAGATATGCAAATGAAGTGCTCAGTGAGACCTACTTCATCAAATAACAGACAAGAGTACGGAGAAAAGCACAGAACAGTTGCTGGGTCATTAACATGTAAGTATCAGGGAGCAGGGATGGGTGAAGGAAAAAAAAACTGTGGGACAGGAGCAAGCAAAGTGGGAACAGACACCAAGGTGTGCACATGGAAGAGCAGTGTGACCTGATAATGTTTGGTCGCATTTATGCAAAATTAATTGTATGGATAAAGGTATAAAAGCTTACATCACAAAACTAAAGAAGCGGAAAAGCATTTCTGCTCGGGTAGGCCTACAGGAGCCTGCCTTCTCAGCATGCCAACCCTTGCACAGCTCTGCTGTTCATCCCAGTACCTCTCATTCTCACGTGGCACAGTGCATTCCACACCTCCTGTGCATGCCTGCCTGTGTGATACCTCACAGGAGGGGCTGCTGTCTTCCTTACTCCTTGCTATACTGCACACCTCCAGACAGGGCCTGGCACAAGCAGGTGTGCAGCAATACTTATTGCAAGCAGGAGACAGGAGCACAAGGGAAAAAGCCTATATTCCCAAGAAAGAACAGGCTGAAGGGGACAAGCGTGGACTTCCCTCTAATGGGCATTTTCCTCAGTAAAGGACAATAGGGATTTATAAATGGAGGGAAAAAGTTTTTCTAAAAAAATACTCTGAAGAGTCTATCTTAAAGGATAAGAAATCAGTTTAAATATACTCAAATTACATACAGAACATAGTAAAAACTACACTTAAGGCTGGGTATGTAGCTTAGTGGCAGAGCACTTGCCTGGCATGTGTCAGGCCTTGGGTTCAAGCCCCAACACTGTAAAAAGTAAAATAATAAAGGTAAATAATAAGTAATAAAATAAATAAGTAAATCCTCTCCAGATAAACAGTACTATCCAGGTCTCACTAACACACAAACACACTCTGTATGATTCATTTCCTTCCAAGACTAAAGAATTCCAAAGACTCTCAACTGAGGTCTCCAAGCACCAGGCACTGAGAAGGTTTAACTGCAGAATCATGTCTTAATCTGACTCCTCTTCGCCTACTGTCAAATTCGAGAGCCATCACAAGAGCAGACTTACATTGCAGCCCTTGTCTGTCAGGTAGCTGATCCCTTCTTCTGGGCCGATTGCCAGCTCCACTGATATAATCCAGCTTGACTTTGGAAGATCAAACATGTGAGGACAGAGGTACCGGAAAGAAAAAGAAAGATTTTAGAATAAAAGCCATGGATATATTAAAAGACCAAGGTGCATAGGGGAGGGGGTGGTAAAATAAGATATTTCTAACTTCATTGACCTACAATCCACTGAACACAGACAGAGATACACTTTGGTCATTCCAGCATGTTGGAAGATTATCTGAATAGGCAAACTAGCCCTTGAATCCAGAACAGCTACACAATGAAGACATTACTTACGAACACAGGCACGAAGTTTAAAAAGGTGGCTTTATTCTTATATTAATAAATTTTCTTTTTTACATTTTTCCCATTTTAGAATGACAATATTCTCATTTGTTTAAAAATGTGACACATTAGTTTTCCTTCAGTCAGAAATGTAGATACATACAGACTAAGAAAAAGCAGAGAACTCAAAGTAGTCTCCATGCTCATGATCCTATACTTACCCCAAGGGCACACTTGAAGCACTCTTTGTCAAACCGGTACACTGGAGAGAGGATCTCAAAGAACTTTAGGATACTTTCTTCTCTATTAAGGTTGGCAAACTGTCTAAATGTTTGTTGGATCAGTTTTCTTAGTGTTTTGGCCTACATGATAAAATTACAAAAAAAATGTTTTTAGAGTTGGCAAAAAAAAAAGACAACAGCAATAATGACAAGATTTATTTCCTACCCATTTAATACTACCTACACATTACTACAAAATCGTACTTGCCAAGTAACTAACAGAGCATTAGTTATTATAATTGCGGTAAAATATACATGGTAAAATTTGCCATCTTAACCATTTTTAAGTGTACAGTTCAGTAGTATAGAGTTTATTTTCTGAAGGCAACAATTTGCATTTAGAATACATGGCACAAAGTCATGCGTTAAACATGTGCCATGGATGCACTTGGACCAGAAGGGGCAAGGGCAAAGGCACCTAAGTGCTTATACTTGGCACTGCTGAGGGGGAACTGATATGCCTTTCTGAAGACAGCGTAATATACTAAAGAACTGAGCAGATACTTTGTCCCACAGAAACTCAGTGCAACTAGAGAAAGAGTTTTTTGACCTGCAGCCATAGCTACAGAAAGCGCTGAAGACTCTGTGGGCACAGTGCTGGGTAGCACTGATGCACACACATAAAAATGGCACCTGAAAAAACATCTGAAGATCTTCCAGGGACATGAACTCCATGTCTCCACAGTGACCTGAGCAAAACAGACACTACTTTTCATAGATTGTGAGCAAACAGACTCAGAAAGATTAGGTCAGGAGGTGAGGGGGTTGGGGAAGAGCTGGGATTCGGACCCAGACTGCATAAGTCTTTTCACAGGTTTTAAATCGGCACAAGCACCGTCTCCTCTAATGACCTCTACATTCTACGGTCTTCAACAAGGCACTTAGGTGTAAGATCCTTGTGGGTAAGAGGGCGCCTGAGTTATCTCACTTCCTCTGAGAAAGGACAGCGAGGCAAAGCTGAAACTCAACTACATGCTTATGTGTGGGGAGGAACATAATCTACAACAACTTGAACTCTGGTAACCTTAAGACCAACTGGATAAAATCTTGTAAGTGAAGTGAATGCCGCTTCGCTTTCCAACATGTAAGTGGGAAGGTGGTGGGGATTTCTTCAGTGTCAGCATGTTGTCACAGAGCATGCTGCCCCAACAGGCTGCTCCTCCAATGTTTAGAAACATCTCCATCAGCAAGCAGGAAAGAGTCCAGCAAAGGCCCTGAGTACCTAGCCACTCCTTCCTGGTAAGTGTGAAGTAACAGATCAGAAAATATGGGGTGGGGGGGGGAGGTCATATGAGCAAAGAGACCAGAGCACAATGACACATCACTCTTATTCTCATTAATGACACATCACTCTTATTCTCATTAATACCTAGTATGTTCATTCATGACACCGAGAAGCATTTTAGCTCAGATGAGCAATGAAATGCAGAGACTAAAGCTATGTAAACAAGCCTAATTCCCAAACAGCTGCTTGTTTATAAACTACTGGCAACAGCACCATGCACTTACCCGCTTAATGCCTTTAAAAATTCACTATCTAAACTGCATTACTTATGGTATAGTAGGACAGAAGTCAAGGAAGTATCAGACTCATTTATCTCCTTGAGCCCCTGACAGCTGTACATGTATTTCCCACACTTTTAAAATCTGACGTGCTGACAGCCTTCCCTGACCAGACCTGACACTCGCTATGTCCAGTCCAGTGCACTCCACCACGCCGAGCCCAGTCACCCTCCTCACTCTTCCTCTTGACCTCCATGGCCTTGAGAAATCTCCAGCTCAGCGTTTATGTGGCTCAACATATGCAACAATGTCAGTCCCACCCAACTGTGCTCCAAACTCAATAGTCTATATCTTGACATATCACTAATGAGCACTTCAGTGTCTGAGGCAGGAGTCTGAGGCCAGGACCTGTTCTCCTCCATCACCATCCTCCATGAGATGGACAGCTGAGTCCTTCAGATGTTCTACCTTCAAATGCAGCCACCAACTCTCTCCTCTCTGCCTCCTTTAAATTCAGCTTTCATAGAGTCTCTTTGGAACAGTGTTGTGTCTCCTGATGACTAAGAAATACAAGTACGGTTGTGTGCAGTTTTCCTATAATGGAGCCTGAAGCTATCAGCCTTTGGCCAAAGTGAATCCATTTGATCCTTTTTCTATCTAGAACATGTTTGGGAAAAAAATATGTATAGTGGTGAAGAACTACACTGCTCATCTTGATCATTTAACCTACTAAAAAATTCCTGAGTAATGGCAAGTGTGTTTGAAAATAATAACGATGCAGTTAAAATGGATGGGCTGAGCTCCAAGTGTATTGTTTGTCTCATTCCACTGCATGTGGAGAAAAAAGTATAAGTTTTCTGCAGGTTGGTTGAACTGGCTCATCTTGCGTGTTCACATTTCCAAGCTAAAAACCAAGAAGTCACAATGACAGACAACAGTAAAATCAGTCCGCTCAGGCAGTGAGAAGGGAAATGATATCCAGAGTTTCTGGACGCTAATCAATACACTTGTAGAGCCAACAGGAGCATTAAGACTATTTTATAGTGCATTTCAAGCATTGTGCATTACAGCATCTGTTTTGTATTTGTCCAGATTCAGGAAGTAAGTCACCTAATCTATGTACACTTAAAATTTAATACAATTCTCAGAGTGAAAATTACTAAAAATGTAGTGCTTCTTCAAAATGAGCAGTATTAGTAGATGAACCATCAGAGAGTGCTACTGCTCAGCCACACTGAACAAGTAATTTCATATTAGTCAAACTAAGATCAGATGTTGCAAGCAATTAGCAGACTCGAGGGCTTTCAGATGAGGGAGTTGTAATGTAAGACTAAAGAGAACGTGACACAAAGCAGTAAGATGCTGAGAAAATATTATTAAGGAATAACTTACTCCCCTCCCCCTACTCAGTACACACATATTATTATTGCCTTCACTCTCCCTGACCCTCCACTGCAGATGCCAGGAACACCTTGCCCAGTGCTGTACCAAGCTGCTTGCTTTAAGAATTCCTCATGGTACTCTAGGAAACCATTTTACTTCATTTCTTGGAATCTGGACAGATTCTTTGAAAAACTGAATTACTACTGCCTAACATTGCTAGTTCTAAAACTAGATTCTACCATTACTTGTATTAACATAAATTAAAATCTGGATGCTTTGTCTTGCTATCTAATTTTAGGACTACAGTAAGGGTGCCAAGATGGTAACTTACTATCCCTGCCCATCACAGAGTGGCACACACTTGTGACAACCAAGGTGCTGGCGTCGTTAGGACACGACTCTCTGAACCTGATGCAAGCTTCACATTTCCTTAGCCTCCTACAGCAGAGACAACCCCTAGTCTCTCCCTATGGTTCATGACCTTGATGCTTTTGATGAGGAATGATCTGAATTTGTATGGTGCTCATGGATTTGGATTTGATTTACTGATGTTACAGGCATAGTGATTTGAAAGAGGTCTCTTTGGTATACTAATACTAGAGATAGAAATTTTAAATATCTTGCAAATTATTCTTGGCATATATTTGGATTTCTGTTTTTGGCATTCATCACAGCTAATTCGAGTTCTACCAACTATGATAATCTTTCAACAATTCAAATGTGAATGTTAACTACAAATAATCTTTTCCACATTTAAATACAATGAGAAAAGGCATATAAAGGAAAGTACCAATGTGTATAGATAAAGCCTGTTTATAGAAAAACAAATATTAACTGACCTAACTATGAACATTCCAGAAGAAATTAGAAACCAGATGTGAATCTGTTGTAAGTTTTACTAACAAAATTCTTGGAGAAGGCTATCTGAATAGCTAATCTGTGTTGGGAGTTGTGCATGCCCTGTGGCCTGACAACAGTGCCATATTCACAAAAGTCTGATGGCAAGCAGTTCTCCTGCAGTTGAAAGAATTTACATGCAAGGTAAAGAAACCTTGTCCTAAGCATATAAATTGTTGATTATGCTACGTAAGAGGTCAAATAAACATTACTTGGCTTATGAAGTTACAATGATTTACTTTTTATAAAAATAATAGTGGGGGCCATGTAATAGGGATGGGGGATATGGCTCAACAGTAAAGCACCTGCCTAGCAAGTACAAGGCCCCGAGTTCAAACCCCAGTAATGCCTCCTCCCAAAAGCAGGCATGTGAGAAATCAGTTCGGAGAATTTTATGAGATACTCCATGAATCTGATGAATATGTAACTAACAGTATCTAATTTTTTTTTACATCAAAATCAGCAGCAATAGGACTGCTGAAGAAGCACAACCACTCTGTTTCTTACAAAGTCTTTTTCAAATCCCCCAGGTGTCCCTATTGCCGGCAGGCCCTGACCAGTGCCATCTCATCTACCTTGTCACTCTTGTGTCTTTCTGCTTCCGGTCCTTTGGCTTCCCATGTGTCCTCCAGGTGCTATCAGATTTATATTCCAAAATCAAACAGTGATCATCTCTCTTCCCTGCTGTAAGACCTGCCAGCCTCTTACACAGAGCAATGGCCATAGTGATCATAGACTGACTACTCAACACAACCACCCACTCCAGCCTGAACTCTGCTCCACACTGCCAGGTGCAACTCATAATTACAGTACAAAGTACAGGGAGTCTGCCAGGAGGAGGGAGGCCATGTAGAGTGGATTTGGAGACTGCACAAGGCAAGGCTCTCTTTGGGAATGGCAGCAGGGGAGCCAGCATACCCAAGGCAACAAACTTCACCAACTTTCAATCTACCATCTTCTCGATGTCCTGCTTAACTACCTTCATGCCTTTTTTCACATTTTACTCTCTCTCTGGACTCTTCTCTAGTTTTATTCCTCTTTCAAGTTGCTGTTAAAGATTTTCAATCTTTCATTTAAGTAAGATGTACCAAATATCACTATGTGGCAGGTGCTACCCAAGCCCAGCGTACAGTGTGGAGGACATCCCAGACACTTTGCCCTCATGGAGCTCAGAATACAGTGGAGACAGGCAGGCAAATGCAAACAAGTAAATACATCTAATTACAAATCGAGAGAGAAAAATTAGTGCTTAAGACAGTGAGCAGGGTCCTAGGACAGAAAAAAGTGTTTTTTCCATTTCTACTGAGGGTAGTGAGGAAGACTGGAGCTGAGGTCTGAAGAATGAGGCACAGAGGGCAGGGTCAGGCTTCTACTGAGTCTCTGTGGACAACTGCCTCCCACTCACATCACACGCCTGTGCCCACACTTCCCTGTTCTGGGTATAATTGCAGTCATACTTCTTGTGATGTGAGACATCTTGCAGTAACTCTGAGGCCACGGAGGAGGCTTCACTGAGAATCACTGGTTGACATTACTAGTATGATTCAGCTATTTACTGAATAATGGATAGAGCACTCTTCTATCCCTTAGCAATATGAAGTCACTTGAGCTTTGGCTTGCTCTTGTTGAAAGGTCTCCTTCCAGGGCCACTCAGTAGGCTGTTGTATATGGGCCTCTCCTACTCCAGGTCTTCTCACCTTGCCTCGGTTCTCACACCTGAGACATCCCAGTCAAGCCGAGTCTCCATTCTCCCAACTCCAGGAGTGTGGCCAGCCCCTAGCTGCCAACCCTTCTGGGGGACACAGGAGGCGTTCTGTGGTGACCCTGGGGATCCTGGACTTTGTCTTAAGCCACTTCTACCATGCTAAACTTCCCTTAGCACCAACTCAACATGCCTTCGGGTTCTGCAGCCGATGTGCAGTTGAAGACAGTGTCTGCACTCTCAACCTCTTCCACACCGAAGGGAGTGGACTCTAAGCAGAGGGACTCAGAAAGAGCTGGATCCCTAATAACCTGTCCCGGCATCTCACTAATGGATCAGAAACACAGATGAGCTCTGAAGAAGTAGAATAGTATTAAAAGAAAAAGAGCCTGAAACAAGGTGAGTTTTTCTTTCCTCTTAAGTGCATGTCTTACTGGATTTGTAGAGTCCTTGACAGTTTAAACAGGCACTTCGGTGAGCTCTCTTTACAGCATCCCCAGCAGCTGGGTAAGGAAGGGTAACAAGTTGCCCCCACCCTCCCACCCAGGCTTTAGGGACAGAGCAGAGATTAGACCTCACAGTCCTACTTCAATGAGCTTCACACTGGCAGGACCCAGGTCTGAACACAGGGCTGTCACAGACTGCTCTCGATAAACCCCATCAACACTGTGACCTGGCGACAGCCCACAAGCAGCACTGACCACATTGAGAGAGCACACTGCACTGTGCCAGGAAACCTGTAGGCACGAATCTCAGTCACGTGCTACGAAGTGCAGCCCTTCGCCTTCCACCATGGGTGGAAGTTGAGAGTGCTGCTCTTCCTCCCATGTTACACGTCTACTGTGCTCGTTCTCTGTGCAAGGCTCTGAGACCTCACCTGTATTGACCCGCTTACTCCTCACATGAACCCTCTGTGTCAGAAACTGGTTTTAGCCACATTAGAGGTGTGGAAACTGACATACAGAGAGATGAAGCCACTTGTCCAAAGTCACAGGCAATTTCCACTGAAGCCAGGGTTCTTACCAAGGCAATTTTAGCTTTGGGGTCAGGTTTCTGAATGGTTATGCTACATTCTCTTATGTGCACAACTTATCCTGTGTGTGCCTCACAGACAGGATGCTGTAGTAATTAAAACAGAACAAAACAAAAAACCCAGAGAGTAATGGCCTTTGTTTCTAAACTGCTATGTGACCGGTACTGTGGTAAGTAAAATCTATTTGTTTTTCTGTTAAATGTTTACACCAATCCTACAAAATATTTTCTTCATTGTGGAAATAAGAAGACAGGGCCACACACTGGGAATTTGGAAATGGCAGAGTTCATTTGAACTGGACCTGTCCTGACCCCCAAATCTGTGTCTTCCCACTGCACCTAATGTCTGGGACACACTTCAGAGTTCTTCTACCTGTCCAGAGTGATCTGCCCTCTGTGATGGGAACTATGGGGAAAGAGAACTAAGATGCCAAAGTTACTAACACGGAAATCACCCACAACAAGAATCAGAAGACAAGCCTTCAGAATGCGCTGATGTGCACACATGTACATACACAGAATCCACTGAAAGGAACACGAGTCAGGAGAATGCACTAATATACACAAACACAAAACACATTGCTCTGCACACAGAGTACACACTGGTACACGAGTCCCCCAATATGCGCATACATGAGCATACGTACACACCCCCCCTCGTGACTCTACTACAATTCTTTTGGGGGTGATGGCACTGGAATTTGAACTGAGGGACTTGAGAATGCTAGGAGGCGCTCTACCACTTTTTGCTTTAGTCATTTTTCAAATAGGGCCTCATGCTTTTTGCCTAGAGATGGCCCTGGACTGTGATCCTCCTACCTCCACATCCTGTGTGGCTGGTAAAACAGGCACAAACTACCAAACCCAGTTTGTCCTTGACCTCCTTAACTTTCTGTAAGAGCTGATCTTAAACATGATCCTCCTATCTCTATCTCCCACTGCATCCGGCCCTACACAATTCTTTTGACAATATTCCTTTGCTTCTGCATACGAAATACTTTAAAAGACTTACGCGGCAGGGAAACCATATGATTTTTCTTCATTTTGTACTTAAGTATCGAATATAATTAGGAAGTGAGGTCATGGTTTTATGGGAGAAAGCTGAACATATAAAAGTACTTGCCATTAATATGAACAGAATAACTGTCAGATTTTTACAATATAACTTTTACATATAAGGAAGAAAACTGTATCATTTTATTTTCCCAAAAAGTAACTTATCATTGGGGAAAAGGCATCATCATTATTTCATTGTTCGATTATGATAAAGGAGACTCTAATTACCTTGACAGAATCCAGTAAACTCTTAGGAAAAAACCGCTTTAAACCAACATCTTTTCTGAAATATAAAAAGAAGCATATTAACAATTAACATCACCAAATTAATTAATGACATACTTGCAAGAACTTCTTATCAGAAGTAGAAAAGAAACGAGACTCCAATTTACCAACACATTCATGGAGGGAGCCAGGTGAGTTGTTTTCTAGTTAGTATAAAAACATGAACACAACTGGTTTAAACAGAAGCCTTCAGTTTTTTCCACCCTCGCTGTTGAAAACCCTTCTAATATCTTGCCTACTTGTAACTCATGATGTATAACAAAACTGTTTTCAGATAACAAAACTGTTTCAGATAACAAAACTGTTTCCAGATAACAAAACTGTTTCAGGTTATCCTTACACAAATCAGTCCCAACTGGGTATACTGTATTTTGAGAGAAAGGAGTTGGCCTGATTAAGACAAGATGCAGGGTACTGTCCTGAAGTTTAAAATAAAACAAGCTCCTTGGATTTATCTTAAACGTTGACTTTCTTCAAATTTTTTAAATTAAGGAACTCTACCTCATCAGTTCATCATCTAATTTTCAAATAAGGAAAACAATTGGTCCTGGTAAAAAGTTGACTGTGTTCAAACAGGAGAAATCTCAGCAATTTTCTAAGTCAAGTTACAAAATCAAATTAGTCATTATTAGTAAGAGCCTTGAAATACTTGACCAAGATCACAGATTGAAAGAACAGCTCATTCTTGCTTTCTGACCACCTTGGGCATTCACTCACCCAGCCTGGGCCACTAGATGGCCCTATGAACCAGGAAGACAAAACACTCTGAGGACATAAGCAGTCAGACCAGGGAAAATAGAAAATAAAGAGAAAAGCAAAACAGAGCTCAGTTTTCCGTCACATAAAGAAACAATAAGATGAACATGAGACATCAGGAAAAATCAATTCTGCCATAATTAAGATAGCTTATTCACAAACAACATAGAGATCATGTCAGAGGTGATATGGCTGATTCTACATTTTAATTCCTTAGTCTAACTGGCAGTATCTAAAAAAATGAACTCCTTGCTAAACCCACAGTTGTCTCAGTTCTCCTCTTTTTTATTGTTGTTATTATGTTCACTACAACCTACACATCTCTTTCTTGGCTCTGTGATACACTGTTCACTGGTTCTACCCATCACACAACTCCTGGTTTTTCCATTTCTCTTTAACCACTTTGATTTGTCACTTCCATTCTTAACCTTTTCAGAACTGGTATTATTTAATTTGATTATTGAATACCAAGAGGAAAAATGTCTACACAAGTTGTTCCTTTTGTTTCCTCCTTTAAAAAAAAAAAAAACACAAAGAGTCAAACTGGATGCTGGTGGTTCATACCTGTAATCCTGATTTTGGGGAAGTTGAGATTGGGAGGATCACAGTTTGACGTCAGCAAGGACAAAAAGCTAGTGAGACCTCATCTCAACCAATAGCTTAGCACAGGGGTGTGCACCTGTCATCCCAGCCCAAGCTACGCAGGGGCAGAGATCGGGAGGAATCCAACCCAGGCAAAAATTTCATGAGACCCCATCTCAGTCAAAAAAACAAAAAAAAGCTGAGTATGGTAGTGTGCATCTATCATCCAGCAATGGCAGGAGTATAAAATAAAGAGCTCATGGTCCAGGCCAGCCTGAGCAAAAAGCAAGAACCTATCTCCAAAATAACCAGGGCAAAAAGGGCTCAAACACTAGAGCACCTGCCTAGGAAGCACAAAGCCCTGAGTTCAAACCCAGTACCTCTCCCCCACAAAAAAATACCCCACAACACAGGGTCTTTGCTTTATGTGTGATGGTACTGGGATTTGAACTCAGGGCCTCATGCTTACTAGACAGGTGTTCTACCACTTAAGCCACACACCCCCCGAGTCCTTTTTGTTTTATTTTTCAGATAGGATCTCATGTTTTTGCCCAGGGCCAACCTGAACCCATATCCTCCAGCCTATACTACCCTCATAGCTGGAATGACATCTGTACACTTAAAAGTATACAAAACAAGATCCAGCTTATTATGATGGTTGAGATCATCTCACTAACTTTGCCCCACCTGGCCTTGAACTGTGATCCTCTTGATCACTGCCTCCAGGGTAGCTGGGATTACAGTAGTCAGTCACTGTACCTGGCCTAGGATCTTTGCATGTTAAGAATTTTGATGTTATGTAGTACTGGGGAGGAAAAGGTAAGTACTGCATATAAAAGAAAAACAAACACTCTAGAATCTTTAGGAAATTATTCCTGACTTCTATTCCATAATAAAAAGCACATATTTTCACATCAGAGTTGTGGATTTGGATCTGACTCTGCCATAGGCTGAGTCTAGGTATTAATACCTGAGCACCTTGGTGATCCACTTTCAAATTGGGGCTGCCAATTCCCACTGCACTGTAGCAGCGCTGAGGATTAAGTAAGAATGTGCTTATAAGGGATAGAGGTATGGTTCATATAGCAAAGCACCAGCCTAGCAAGCACGAGGCCCTGACCCCCCACCACACACACACACACACACACACACACACACACACACACACACACACACACACACAGTTAAAAGGACTCTGTGGGGCAATTTCCTTTCTTCCCTTGAAGTCCTTCTTCTTAAGAGAGTTTTGGGTTTGTACAATCTTTACGCCTGTTTAGCAGAGAGTACTGTGACAGCAAAGAAAGACTTGTGTGTGGGTGAACTTGCATGTGCGCTGTTGGCAGAGAGTGGGCTGCATAGGTGGTGAGAAGGGGTGTGACTCAAGAGACACTGTGGAACAGAGAGCAGGGCTGGACTGCTGACATTCTGCCTAAGGTGGAGAAGGTTGGTGGTACCAACAGATCCAATTTGGACATGTTAGCCTGGGCCAGGCATGTGACCTCCTGCTGGGAACCCACAAGGCAGCTGGCCATGTCTGGCTTTGATGGATGGAATGACAGGGCAGTGATGGCCTCTCCTCACAGTGAGGTTGTCAACTTCCATTAGTCCAGTCAGTCATACATCTATTTTTCCCAGAACCAGGTGGGGAGAAAGAATTCATCATACTTATTTTTGTCACAGTAAAAAACTAAAGATGGACCAAGAGGATTCTGTTTCCAGAAAAATGACAGAGAGTGTATTTCTTTATGAAAGTGACTGTTAATGTTACTGGTACTTCCAAGATGGAGATGACTTCATCTAAAAAGCTAGAGGCCAATGCTCACAGTACACATGCAATTTGTTTTCCAGATCCTTCTGACTAATAAGGAGTTTTGTAACATTTATTTGGCTCTTAGAACTCTTAGATATTTGTCAGGTGAAAAAATTAAAATGAGGCTAACACACAGAAAAGCACGGGACAAATTCCACAGCACTACCTTAAGCGAGCCAACCTGCTATAGGCTCTGCAGTCAGGCCCTCTGAGAAGCGAGTGGTGTCATGTTCAAAGTTTTGGAAGAGCCTATTATAGGTAACTAAATTTAAACTTCTCTCAGGAGACCATGCAGGGACATGTAGGTCGTCCCACTTTTAATAGAGGCTGCCCCTCTCCGAGCTGCATCTGGCCCTGGCTTAGCGGGACTAGTCACTCTGCAGCAGTCTCCCTGTGCAGTATCAGGTTTCTCTGAGCCCAAACTCTACCAGCTGTTCTCACATGACTAAAACAATAAATGCTACTTGCACATCATAAATTAACTACTATTCTTCATTCTAGTTCCTTATTCTTAACTGCCAAAGGGTGAATCCTTTGTTCACCCTTAATGCATTTAGACTCATAAAGAAACCAACTAGCTCAGAGGAAGCTTTTAGAATAGTGCCAAACCTTAGTTTACTAGGTTCCCACTTTAGTCCAAAGAGACCTGGACAAATGACAAGTTACAACTGTGCTGTCTACTTTGTAGTTAACTAGTTGACTTTGAATGTAAAATTCTGTTCCTGGTCTGTAAGTTACCTCCCAAGCGCTCAGAAGTCCCATGTGGGTAATGGCTGCCAAGCTGGACAGGGCAGACCCAGAGTGTTCCCATCACCCTAAGTGGAGAGTCATGTTGACAAATTCCAGAACTCTGGAGGCTCTCGAGGCTCTGGGTGGTGGACCTGAGTTGGAGAGGCAACTACCATGGGGACGAGTACACAAGAATCCTGCACTCGTCTGCAGGCTGCAAGAAGCAGGCATGGTGGGCAAGGTGAGGAAGGCACCCACCAGCACGGTGCAGCAGCAGAACAGGAGCTGTCCCAGGTCAGGACCTTTCACCAGAGCCACCTGAACTGCACAGCAGGGAGTCTCTGAGTGCTATGCTCTCTGTGTTTCTGCCAGGACTAGTGGAGAAAGCTCCAAGAATTTGTTCTCCAACTTTCAGATTATTTTGACTTGAACCCACAGAAGAGCCTGTGTTCATCTGGTTATTCACTGAGTCTGATAAGATAGCACCAAGGCACACCAAAGGGCAGAAAAATCACTCTAACACTTTCCTTTAAAAAAAAAAAGGTGTTTTTGTTTTTTAATACAGGGTCTTCTCCATGAGGCTGCTTGGCCTGGAAATCACTATGTAACTCAAACTAGTGTCAAATGCTCAATCCTCCTGCCTTAGCCTTGTCAATATAGGATTACAGAAGTACACCACCATGTCTGTCCTGTACTTTCCCTTTCCCCAAGGGACATGGTAAGATAAACAACTATACTATAGCACAAAAGGTACTATAAGGTAACAAGTGCTCAAAACCAACAAATTTAGCACTTGAGATTTAGAGTCTCTGGGACTTAAAATTATTTTTGTGACCAATTTTAAACTAAAGCTCTCTTATTATTTAATTTGGTCCTTTAAGGAAAATATCTAGAACACTCCTGACAGATGGGGTCTACTTTCTCTTTCCTATTGTTATATGTCAAAATCCCATTTATCTTTGGCATTCAGTGCACTCATGCTGGGACAGCCAGGCCCTCCCACGTTCCCCACCTTCCCCAGCGACATCACACTGACCCAGTATGGTCTGGACAGAGAGGCAGCGTGCAAGGGCTCCTCCTCCACCTACATCCCCTCACAGTGCTCTGGAGGACTGTTGGGC